CGAAGTTATTGGAAATCAGGAATCAACATCGAGACCGGGCAAGTTCTATTACTTCAACGTACACACGCAGCAAGGGCAGTGGGAGTTCCCCTCGACTGAAGTGATGCCACCGAGTAAGGCTCCCAGACTGTTGTTTTCGAAGGCTCTTATGGTCCCGTTCAGCGAGGAGAAAGAGCTCATATGTCTACCGCATGCCGGAACTGGAGACAGCGCATGTACTGCATATTCTGAAGAAGCATAGGGGAGTAGTACTGGGGGGGGGGGGTTTGGGGTCATCCAGCAAGACTTTGGAGAGAATCGTATTACTCATTGGTCGTTGTGTTCGCTTTTTTCATAGAGATTTGCAGAAGCCGTTAAGAATTTCCCCAAAATTCTCCTCATAATTTCCATATTGTCACCAACATATGTGCATATTCTCCCTACACATATTTCAATTTTCACAGGAGTCAACTTATTTTTGGGTGTAGTATTTTTACGAATATATTTTAGTCTCGGAAACCTCGGTCGTGGAGAATCGATGGAGAAATAACACTACCAGTTGAGGAAGCTATAAAGGTAGTGTCGGTGTGAACGTGGTGGGACTACTGTGCCCTTAGGAATTAGCATTGATAAGGGAAGAGGTGGTAAGGCAAGAACCGAACGGGCTGGCGGCTATGACTAAGTGCTTTAAAGATAACGCTAGAATTGAAAGTGATTGCGGCACAGCCAAGCGAGGTGGACTGAAGTATTCGAAGTCGATGTGAAGGATATGTTGGTTTTTGGTAGGAGGCGATCTTGGAGAGATTGCTCGCGGAAGAATGCAGCCATCTTTTGAGAAAGTGGCGTTTGCGTTGCCCCCGGGGACATTAAGTCCGATTATACACACGGAATCTGGGGTAAGGCTCGGCGGGGCTTGGCATTGGTATTGTTGATGGCTAAGGTGCACTTGATACTTCGCTTGAAGTGATGATGGGAAATCATCTGTATTGCATGAAAAGGAAGAAGGTGTGGGAGAAGTCATTGTGGATATTATTATTCCGTGTGAGTGCATTTGCAATGTAAAGCTGAAGGAGAGCTCTTTTAGATAGAAGATCTACTATGTAGAATATGACGAATCTGATACGTATTTCGAGAGGAGATCGTGTCTAATTATTTGACCTATTATTCCCTCCTCCTGAGATGTTGTACCATTCCACAGTCGAATCTGCTTCCACGGCACTAGTATTGGACAACACTGTTACTACTATCAGTCCTACCCTATGTCTAGCCAACTGTCCTTCTTGTGCGGACGCAGAGTGTTGAGGACGGGCAACACACACACTTTTTCCTTTATATTCTACTATCACTATTATTATCATTATCGTCGATGTATCACAAGCATCAGGCTCCCTTGTAGTAGAATAACTATATTCTGCTATTGGCATTCGATTGGCATTTCGAATATGATACTTATCAAAGTGGATGGAGTCGGTTATTGCTATTATATCTCATTTTGGTGGAGTACAGAGATGATTGCTATTGCGAGTATCTACGTCACGATGCGAGTATGAATAATTATCACTAGTACCGTTTTGCATGACCTGAGGCTTGCTACCGGTGCTCTGGTGGAAACTTGGATGAGTGAATATTGCTGCTGCTGCTTCGTGATGAACTATGGGCATTTCCCGGTTGCATGGAAACCACATGATGTTGTGTTCTGAATGGTGAAGCGCGGAATGGCGGGAGTTTTTTTTTCGGTGGAGTCAGTAGCTGTGTTGTTGGTAATCAATCTCGGTGGTCGCGACTGTAAGCAGCGAAAAATATGAATAAATATGAAGTTGTGACGGCCGTTGGTGAGGGGGCCTATGGGGTCGTTCTGAAATGCAGAAATAAGGATACGGGTAAGCTGAGCAATTATGGTGGTGGAGACTCTTATGTTGGATTTGTAGGGGACGTTGTGGCAATAAAAAAGTTCAAGGAGTCTGAAGATGATGATGTAGTGAAGAAGACGACGCTGCGTGAAGTGAGGATACTACGCATGTTGCGCCACGAGAATATCGTGCAGCTTAGAGAAGCCTTTAGACGGTAAGCACTTTGTCGGTTGGGTGGAGAATCGAAGTGTTTATTCGGTTCTATGGTGTAACGGTTAGCACTCCAGACTCTGAATCTGGCGATCTGGGTTCAAATCCCGGTAGAACCTTTATTCATTTAAACGTATGCCGCCGAAGACTGATTATGTGACTGATCTCGTTGCCCCCCTTCATGTTTCGCATATATAATCATGACTAGGGCTTGGCGTAACACTATCATAGTAACCACCTCTGGTCCACCGATAACACACGTCTTTAGTTCTTTAGGAAAAGTAAGTTGTATCTTGTTTTTGAGTTCGTCGACAAGAACTTACTGGAACTCTTAGACATCTATCCTCAAGGCCTGGAAGCTGAGACGGTGAGCTACTACTGCCATCACTCTTACAGAAGTATGCTGCCGCTCTTTAGGTCCGCTACTGCGTGTGGCAACTATCGCGCGCCATGGAATTCTGTCATCGTCATGATGTCATTCATCGGGATATAAAACCAGAGAATTTACTCATAAACATGCACGACAAATCACTGAAACTATGCGACTTTGGTTTTGCCCGTAGGCTGTACTCGCTCACTCTACAGCCTTCCGAGTTGGCCGCACTCCCCTCAGGTACCCTCCCGAATGCCACCAGCAATGCTGCTGATGCAATATGTAACGGGAGTGGGGCCAACGGGGCCCTCACGGACTACGTAGCGACGCGTTGGTACAGAGCTCCAGAACTTCTCCTGGGCAGCACTGCGTGAGTCGCGATGCTATCAGGGTCGCTCTGAAGTAGTGATGTTGCAGATACGGCAAGGAAGTGGACATTTGGTCCATTGGATGTATCATGGGAGAGATTGTTGATGGTCAACCACTGTTCCCAGGGGAGAGCGAGATAGACCAACTCTTCGTCATCCAGCTGGTGATGGCGTGTGCGGCGTATGCGACTATAGAAGATTTGTTGTCTAGGTATTGGGCCCGCTGACCCCGAAACAGATGGAGATATTTCTGCGGAACCCGAGGTATGTGGGGCTCAAGTTTCCTGACATGTCCAGACCGGAGTCGATCGAGAAGCGGTATCTCGGCAAGTTGTCGAAGCGCGCGATGAACTTCATGAAATCAGTGTTGGTCCTGGATGAGTCGCAACGGCTGACGGCGGAGGATTGTGTGACACACAACTATTTCGAGGGTCTGGTGTCACCATCTGGTGTAACAGCAGAAGAGGTGGCGGCGCAAGCTACCCGAAACCGTCCTCTCCACGCGAGTCCTCGACAAGCAGCGCATACTGGCCGCCAGCCAAGTGGATCCAGTGGGCCGCAGGTGGCCCCTCAGTACCAGCAACCGACGCCTACTCGAGGGAAATACGCCGATAATGGTCCCCAGCAAAGTGAGGGCCGACGTGGTCCACGAATAGGGCAAAAGGCTGGCCCGAAACGGAGGTCTAATGCAGCGGGCAGCGGTACTACGATGGGTGGCAGCGGGGGAGGGGACGGGGGAGGAGCACATGCTTCTCGTGTTGATGACCACAGCCCCTACCAGCAGAGATACAATACCAAGCAGTATCAACAGGTGCAGTCCTATCAGAATAGGAGTAGTAAGCCCTTGGGGGCAGTCGGGGGGGCCGGGACCAATCAGAGCAAGAGTCGTGGCTCACGAGGCCGGCAACATGGTCACAACCAAAACCATCAGCCCGATGAGGAAGCAGCGTATCGGCATAGGAAGTCAACTGGATCTCGAGGGGGTCCACCGAAAGGACCAAATTATAGGGATCACGCCCCTCCTGACCATCTACCAAGCATTGGTAGTCGTGATGGCAACCGCTTGCAGAGTCGCGGGGAGTTCACTACGTTGACGCAGTATAACAGGAGCCCTGTAGGACAGACACCCGAGGCCGATTTCATCGCGTCCAGAGGCGATAACGTTGGAGGTTTGCAGCATCTGAACACAGTGGATCCATTTGAGGTTCGTTTTGATGTCACCGCTTGAGTTCATTCGTTGTCCTTAGTTATTGGAGGACCATGCAGGGGGTAGTAGCAGGTTCTCGGGACAGGAGGACCCCTTCGGTCTACAGCCTTTGGGTCATCGCCCGATAATACCGGAGACCAGATACGCTGCATCTGGCCGCTTAGCGCGATGGGGTGACGACGGTCGGCTTGAGGGCGGCCCTCATCATCTCGGGGATGACCGGCTCGAGCACCGCACTAGTAACGCCTTCCACAGTGGGGGCTCGGCGGGGGTTCACGACTTGAGTGCTTTCATGATCGGAGGGCGGCCTGAGCGTATGATGGCGAAAGGCTCAGCAGCAGCAGCAGAAGCTGGCGGTGGTGGTCGTCGTCGTCGGTGAGTAGTATGTAAACTTACTACGTTACATGCCTTCAATTGGATCATGGTGCCGACTGATGTCTGCGATTCGGTCTCATATGGAGTGTTGAGTTCATCTAGGAGGGGGGGACTCCCACACATGTGAATGCGCGATGGAATCAGTTTGTATCCACTGGGCATGTCATCACAAGGAGGGGAGTTACGTGGCAGTCGTGACAGAGGGTCATTTCTGCATGACCTTTTCGAAGAGGTAGGCGTCCAGCGAAGGGTGAATCAATCTCCGTCTGTTCAGAACGTCGAGTCGCTGCTCTCGTGGCACATCTATAGGAGTCCGAACGAGCAAAGACGATTCGTCCACGTAGTGAAGGACCTCTATCAGAGCTACAAGGTGGGTTTAATCGTCGGGATATCACTGATGTTTGTGTTGCTATAAAAGTGATATCAACCTGCTTTCTCTCTGCTCGGGGTGGATTATGTAAGACACTTTGTCTGAGTGGTTAAGCCGGTCGTTTGTTACGCTGTTGGGTTTCGCTCGCGACGGTTCGAATCCCACAGGTGTCGTTGCACATGATATTCTGCCTTTTGCAGCCTTGTTGTTGGTGGGGCATCGCTGTTTATATTCTAGGATGAAGTCGTTGGCTCACGCCCTGCCTTGCCGAAGGAACATCAGGAACGTCGTATATTCTTGGGCCTCTCTAAGAGTGTCCCTCTCATACCGCCACCCGTCACGGTGGGTTTTGAATATCGTGTAGTGATGATCGACGGTTGGAGCCCTGCAGGCCCCCCCTTCACGAGTATCGGACTCTTTCCTCACAACTGTAGCGCAGCCTATAGACGTGTACCTCAATCGACGAGGGACAGCTCTACGGCGCAAGCGGAGTAAACGTAGGAATCAATGCGATTCATGTTTGGGGTAGCTGATTATTAGGTGGATCGTCGTTAACTGATGGTGGCCAGTCCGAGACCCTGTCCGAGTTCCTCTTGGGCTCAACGGCTGCACAAGAATCGGGTAAGGTGTGGTATGTCCTCCTTACCACAACTATTAACGACCTTCCCTGTCCGCTGGGTATCGTTTGATATGCTTCAGTGGGCAGCAACTCCACAAGGGCAGGGTCGAGTGGAAGTGCATTAACCAGCGTGAGCTGTATGACGCGGACATCTCGAGTACGATGTGCAGTGGAGGGCTACTGGCTGGAGTGAATCGTGTCATCAGAGTGGCTCCAACAACAGCGTGTTGATGGCGACGAAATATCATGATGATTATCGCTTCCATCGACGAGCCATGCGAGTGAACTATCGCCATTGGAAGTCCACCAAGGCTCATGAGGCTACTGGACCATTGCCGACTCAGAGGTATGTCTCGTTGAGTTTCATGGACTAAAAACTTGGAGTTTCGCCCGTGATATGAGAAACACTAGTGAAAAAAATATTTTCGCGACTCCTGCGTAGCGGGGATATCGCATTTTTCGCGGAGTATTACGCCACTTCACGTAAAACGGGTGAAAGTCCACTATTTTCAGTTATCCTAGCGTGAGACGGTTGATCACTGGATATGACCGAGATTTCAATGGAGTATCACCTGATGGAAGTAGAAAGGAAGCATCCAGTAGGACTACACGTACGGCTGCTCGCCCTGTTTACTGCATCTCGACAGGTGAATCTTCTTTGTCGGGAACGGTCAGTACTCTATCCAATACAAGCGTTGATCGCGGTCTTCTCCATGGTGTGTTCAAACCTCATCTACATGGCTTCATCCAGAATCATGTTCAACGACTAAGTACTTTATCGTTTGCCTTTTCCCTGGCCAGTGGTTCCTCTCAGCTCATGCTGATAGAGAATGCTTCATGTCGTGCTTGCGGAGCTTGCATACACTACGCAAGGAATCCCAATATGTCACCATGTAAGGCTTCGGTGGGCCAACCCAAACGTATGTATGTTCATGATGCAGAATTATGAAACTCGTCAGCTGAGACGACACGGCCAGCAGCCATTCAGATGACTGTTTTAGGCACGAACGAGAATTCCCTCCTCTTGTCGAGAACACTCGAATGTGGCGTCCCAAAACAGCGAGGCCTCTTATGGACCGCATAAAACTATGTCAGAGTAAAGTGACACTGAGTGGGGATCCTGCGTTGAAGGCTTTCGAGGGCCCATGCAAAGCTACTCTCGCCGAGGCAATACGAGAGGCAGCTGCAACGCGGCTTAAGGACGATGTGAGCTGACATCAAGAAGTGTTCCAAGGCATAATGTCTCAGTGCATTCAGGGACCGACCAAAGAACAGAACCCCAAATTGATTCTGCAGAGGCTGCTTGAACGCGCTCGCCAACGTGAGCATTACATCTACGAATTCGTTTGTGATTGCAGCTCTTAGATGATGACGATGGTTCTTCACCCGACGTCTTTTCCATGAGCGAGATCACTCCAACCGAAGCTACTCATGTTAGTTTGGCTGACTCTTGCGACGTCCAGTATGATGATACCATTTCATGAACCACGTTGATTGCTGCATCTTAAGTTGTTCAACATTTGCCACTAATCTACTATTTGAGTTCTATAGTGAGCACTGCTTCAACTCACTCGTGTATGGACAAGAATATCCAACAATGTGAGTGTAGGTTAATCGGTCGGACTCGTCTCGTGCTCACGACGTCCGTTGACGCTCGTGGCAACCAGCAGTGTTCGCCTCGGTGTCTCAAAAGCTCATCGCAATGATGTCAACGGAACGCATCCTATTTACTCCGGGTGATATGGTAAACAGGACAGCAGACCCTGAATACAGGTTCCGGTGGAAAAAATAAATTTGAACTCCCACTTCGGGCCGACAGATCACCGAGTCGAGGCCGACCTCCACAGGTTTGCCCACGAGCTGTCTCAGCCGAGTGATTCAACTCGAAAGAGAGGGCTAAAGAGAAGATAAAACCTGCGACGCAAGTACGACGCGGGAAATACATACACGTTACGAAAGACTCTTTATATGATACCAGATGCCTCCTCATACATTTTGCACTAATGTGACGGTGCTACTTGGCTTGCCGAAATCATATGTGTATTGCTCCCAGATTCGATTGCCTGGTTGAATCCGCACGGGTGACTCGGGTCGGCTAATCGGCTACTCCCCAACCATCACATGTCTTAACACGGATAGTATTGGTTTCTTTGGCTCGAAGAACTTGCACGCAAACCCTTTTTGACATTCAAGAATTCAAGAACAATCAGTACAACTCGACCGACTGGAAAAGATTCAACGAAGTGGAGCGATGAACAACAACTATATATACAGGAAGGCATAGGCACGAGCCCACAGAGACGTTTCAGTAGTAGAGAGACTGAATAAGAACGAATGCGATGGGTGAGGACATTACCAAGAAAACAGAAAACAACATTTATAGAAGACATATTTATTGTGCCGCGAGAGGAATATGTGTCAAACCTACGGCGTTGGTAATCATTAAACATACAGCAAACATCGCAATAACAGTGAAAATGGAAAGAGTCCAAACAATAACCCTTCCAGTAAGTCGTGACGATTCCTTCTTCATCACCTTTACGAAGATAATGCAAGGGCAAGTGACGAGCAGTAGAGTTCCCCAAGGACCACCCAAGAGGGATACACATCAGCGATGCCAGGCACCAATATGGCAATGGTCAAGGTCACCACGAGAAGAATCAGGGAAATCGAAATACGAAGAATCTTCTCGCTTCGACTCTCACAACGGAGGGACGACGGTAACCTTTCGCGCTGATCAAGAAGAGGCTCATTTTGTGCTGCCGATACCTCCTTCATCGAGGAGATGAAATGCACAGCGGCTCTCGCCGTCGGATTGGTGTTGATCGGAATAGAGCACATCAGACTGAGGGCGAGGGCCAAACGACAGAGGTTAATGAGAACATCGTCGTGAGAGTAGTTCGTGATGTAATTTTGATGAGTAGTGCTCAAGAAACTGAGGTAACCAGATACACCGATTAGAATATAGAAGCCCAGCTGCAGCACTGCCACTCTGAAACTAACTTTGAAGCACCTCTTGGGCGTGGGGTCGATCAGCTCGTTGGCCACGGGAACCACATTAGTGTGGCAAATATATGCGAAAAGAGTAATAGTCAAGCACTTCAGAAGAGGCCATCCGAAAACAGCCAGGTTAACCGTGAGATCCTCAGGAAGACTCTCTGCTCGCCCTGGAGCTTGAATGAGGGTGCAGATAGCAGTAAAGATAAGGGCCAGAGTCGATATAGGCGTTACATGGCGAAGAACAGACAGTTTCTCGGGCAGCACGAGAGGGATGGCCACGATGGCAACCAGGAAGATGCAGAATGTACGGGGGACGCTGACGCCGATCCAAGCGAAGAGAGCTGGTAAAAAGTCTCCTTCTAAAATGAGGTATGCTGTCATCGTGCCCATGCCGTAGAAAAACATGATAGCATCCATTACAGCAGCTGACCAACGACCACAACAGCTGCCTAGTAGAGAGCCGTAGGAGCCTCTGCCAGTCCTCTGGGCTGACTCCATCAGAAGATACATAGTAAGGATAGCCAAAGCCGCAGAGACTACCAACAGGATGAGTCCGTTGATGATACCAGCCTGAACGAGGAATATCACATCTTGACAAACCAATGGGAAGTATGCCTTACCTGCTTCATCACATAAGGAAGGCAGAGAACACCACCACCCATCGATGTTGATATTAAAGTGAACATCGACTGAGTAACGCCCCCGGGAGTAAGTCTGAACAAGCTCCCTTTCTTCGTGGGAACTTGTGGACGACCCAAATCTGGCGAGGCCCTCGTCGTCACAGTATTATCCGAGTCAAGACGTCGGTACACTGGTTTACTCTGTGGAACTGATGACGACATTCAAACAGAC